CACTTGCTCCATGCCTGGATTTACACCCTGCCTCCCGAAGACATTATGTCCTCCAGAAGCCTTCTCTGATCCCTGAAAGTTAGTAACCTTTTAAAGGGTAAAGGTAAAAGCTTGAAAAAGGCAGAAACTGTGAAAAATGTGTTGCTTGCATGACCTTTGCTCAGCTTTCTGCTGAGCGAGGATTATCGGATTATCCGCAAGACAATGAATCACCCAGCAGATGTAGGGCAAAACACCAGACCCATCCAACTGCAAAGTGGACAATGGGCCAGGCAGAGTACGTCAGCAGGAACTGCTAGAAGCTAAAAGTAGAGTATACAACCTACACCCCAGCTGTTATTCGAGGCTGACCTCTTTTTGGCTCAGCCTGCCTGCACCCAGGCACATGATAAAGCCATTTTGCTCTACATTGGCCTTGTGTTGTAGATGTGATCTCCCGCCGGCTCAGACCTTTTAATCCCAACTTGTCATAACACATTATTTTAGTATTTGTGGCATTTATAACTGCCTACTAGTCCATGCAGCCTAGTAGGCTAAACTCCTTGAAGATACATATCTCTATAATAAGGTAGCTATTCAATAAATATGTATTTACTAGCATAAGTAGAAATAATAACAGCTATCTTATATTGAGTGCATACTTTAGCCAGGCACTGTGCCAAGGGTTTTATACAACAATCCACATCTAAATAAGAGATGAGAAGTATTTAGTTCCATTTCATGAGTGTTTTCCATATACTAAGACTGTGCTGAGAAACATTATTTCATTTAATCCTATAAACAACCCCATAAAACCGGTACTGTTATTCCCATTTACACCTGAGGAAACTGAGAATTAGAGCTTGAATGGTAGAGTTGGGGAAAAACCTGGGTCTTTCTCATTCAAAAGCCTGTGCTTTTTAACAATTACGATATACAACTTCCCCAACTAGGTTCTATTTCTCAATCTGCCCACTTCATACAACCCTGACTCAGCTTCTAACATGTTCAAAAGCACCTTGTTTCACAAAGGAAAACAAACAAAAAGTCTTAGCTTCCCTCTGAATTGCACGATAATTTTATTTTGTTCTCTTTTTGGACCCAAAGACTCACCTTTGCCATCACCATCTGTGAACCTTTTGTCTTTGCCTTTAAATTTTCTCCTTTAAATGTGTGTTGAGAACATGATTGGGAGTTTTAATGGAGAAGGGCAGAAACTCATAATTTAATTCACAAATTCTTTCTCTGGAAAGGCTATACTATTCAGTCAAACATTTAAGTTAAGGAGAGAAACAGGTCAAATATCAAGGAGGAGGGGACAAATGATTAGATGGTTGGATGATATGTGGAGAAATACATAAAATGTCACAGCCAGAGTCATATCACATCAAGCCTACAAGATCTAGGGCAACACTCCCAGTTTCCTTTTCTGTGAAATGGGGATAACAAATGCACCCAGTTCATAGGATCATTGTAAAGATTAAACAAGTTAACACCACATGTACAGCAATGAGAACCCTTAGAACATACACAGCCATCAGTAAGCACTGAATAAATTTCAGCTGTATTATTATCATAGTTGAGCTTACAGACTTCTGAAAACCTAATCAAAACTACTGACCTCTGAACCTATAATTCTGATCTAGAGTCAAACTTCAGGTCTTAGTGGAGGGGAGAAAAAAAAAAAAAGTCCGTGAAGGTCCCAAATGATGCTAAGACCCAAGAGTCCAGAAATGAAAAAGGAGTGGTCCAAGCAGGTGGAAGTCTCAAAAACAAAACATGATGTGGTTAAAGAATGAGGAATCAACAAATAACAGGAGCAAGCAATTCATGTTGCAATGAACGAGGGAGATATTTTATTATATTTTGCAAATTAAAATACATTTGTATTCTACCTGTTGCTAGCTATAACTAAGTTCAACAAAAACTTAGAGCACATTAGCTTCAAAGTCATCTAGTGATATCAGTAGAAACGGCAGTGATATAAAAGTGAAGTACCAGAGGAAGAAAGCAGGGCAATATGATTTGGAGAAGTCTCCGAAAACCTAACGGGGTTTGCAGGCATTGGTTCTCCCCTCTCTGATCTCCCCTAACTCAGGGAGTCCCCACCCGTCGAGGGATGGACACTGGTCACAGTCGCCACTGCCCAACCTTTCCCTTCTGCTAGGGAGCCCACATCACTCAGAACCCCCTCGGAAAGTGAAGAACAAAAGGGTGGAGAGAAAAGGTTGAGGAAAGGAAGCTAATGCTCTACCTATAATCCAGCAAGCACAGTGCCTGGCCCTCCATTTACATTTGTTTAGTTCGCGGGGAAAGGCTTGGAAGAAAGAAACTGACAACAGGGTTAAAGGGCTGGGAATGAAAGGCGACTAGTAGGTGAGAAGGAGGTTGGGAGGGTTCGAGGACTGGAGACGGTGCGGGATCAGAATGGGGTCGCTAGCTAGGGCAGGAGGGGCCGAAAGTTAGGAAAACAGGAGGTGGGAGAGAGGGCGGAAGGAGAGAATGTGCGGGAACGCGGACGCCGGCGGGAAGCCAGCGCGGAGCCAGACCCTCGGTGTCACCCGCTTACCTTGCTACGCCCCTCGGAGGAAACGCGCTGCTGGGAGCTGGGGGCCGGAAAAGATTGGGAAGGGACGTTCAGCATCTTGGACCCCTGGCCCGGGCCCTTCCCGGGGTCCGCTGCCGGGCGGGGTCGCTCGGGGAGACCCCTCTGGAGTTTCACGTCCTGCTCCGGCTCCAAGGCCGGGCAGAGGCCAAGCCCCCGACCCACTTCCGGGGTCGCCGGGGGTAAAGCGCGCCATGACGCAGCACGTCGAGTCCGCGGAGGGCGGGGCCAACGGCACGGAAGGAGAGACGGCTGAGGGAGGGAGGCGGGGCCAGGGGGAAGTACGAATGCTGCGTTAGTTCTGCCCCTGAACTTCAGCACCGCAAGGAGGTGACAGCTATTCCTCAGAAAGATAAGAGAGTGAAGCTGTTCCTTAGCTTTGGTGCTGACCGAATTTGAGAATAAAATCTTGTATACAGACCCACAAGTGTCTGTCCATTGTTAAGCACTACTATTACACAACTTAAAATATGAAATGAAATAATACTATTAGAGAATTTTGATCTCTCTGAAACTCTCTCCCCTAAGACACCGGTCTGTACAGGAAGAGAAACTTAAAAGCCAAGATGTCAAATGCAAACAGACACTCCTGTGGGGTGAAGAAAAAACTTCACCTTTAAGAACCCTCCCTAATGACTGACATTATGAGTCAAAGATATCAGTAAAATCTTCTGCTCCATTCACCTGCTCACAAGTTCTTCCTCCTCATCCAACTTCCTGTCTTCCCTGAAAGATACAGGGAATTGTATACTGATGCAGTCCACCCCTAACTACCATCAGGTTTAGTTTGGATGCTATCTCTGCACTTGCACCACCTAATGCAAGGTAATTTAGTATCTCAAAGCCTCATTTTCCCATATTCATAATGAATTTAAGTTTCAGTAGGATAAATAAGATGTCATATACAAACTACATAATACAATGCCTGATTAAAAGTAGATACTCTATAAATAGCCGCGATTCCTCACACTATTCCAACATGTCAATGAGAAGCACAAATACTGTGCAGGTAAACAACCATCTCTAAGTCTCCAGGTTCAGATCGGAGACCTGGTGAGTTTTTCCTTGGGGAACATACACATCCTAAGAATAGAATGCAGTGAAGGGGAAATTTTTTCAGAAGAAATATAGTTCTAAATAACTCTCCCCAGTCTCATTCTATTTCTAACTTTTCCTGAGTCTGAACCATGGTTTGAACTTTCCCTGTTTCAATTGCCTTGTCCTTAAAGTGCCTGTAAATTAATGTCTGTTGCATCTCTTCAATTAGAAGAAAAAGTATGGGAATATAAGTAGCCATTCAAGTAAAACCATTTCTTAGGGAGGTAACCATCTCTGACCTTCACCTCTGCCTGTTATCATTATGAAATATTATAGAAACATTCTTTATTTGCAATTGAAATGCTTATTGTGAAAAAATGTGTTTGAGCTAAACAAGACTTCATTACCACAGTTTACTATGTTACCTTTACCTTGAAAACTGCTCATTTTATCTCCCATTAAAAGATAATTTATTCTTCTATGAATCTACTTTAAAACACTAATCACTGAGAATTTCTTATTTCACTTTCCATAAGAATTTTTTTACATGAGTATATTAGGAGCAGCAAACCAGAGCGAAGGGAGGTGATGTTGTTGGAGAATGTTTCATATCTGCCAAAATTTCCTCTTCGATAGAAAATGGAAAAAATACTATCAGATTCTGGCCTTTTGGCTGCCCTTTTTAAGACTCCACTTAAATCATGCCCATTTAAATACTGTGTTTTAATTCTGGGGATTCCTCAATGTACTGCCATAAGTTTTGAATATTTATGCTATTTTACAACTGGATTTAAGGACAGCAGAAGAGTATTAAAGAAAATTTCTTGAGTCACCATTCATTAAAAATGCCTAAAATTTAATAGCCTTAACACTGATTCTCATTCTCAATTATAGACAATGATTTAAAGTATTTTTCACCATCTGCTCGAAAACAGAAAACAATAATGTATAATTGGCAACATAAGGTTATTTTCTTCATTATCTAATAATATTCATCTGTAACTACAATATCCACTGGAAATCAATAGGAAATAGCAGATGTTACAAGATTCAGTTGAAAAATATTGTCATTCTCTGCAGTTATAACTAAATATTCATAAAATTATAACTAAAGATAAACTTTTAATTTGATGAAGAGATCAAAATTATCTTTTGTAAGTGTCAAATGTTTACAACACAATCAAGACGTTTGTAAATGGCACCTACTTTTAAATTCCAGCATTGGATAATAGTGTAGGGATTTAAAAAAGGCCCAACTACCATAGTAATTACAAAATATTTATTTTATTAATAATTTACATACAAATAAATAAGCTTAAAGGATTATGATACATTTTCAGACTAAATTTAAATCCTACAAACTTTTACTGTCATCAAAAGTAACTAATCAGATTAATTTTCACAGATCAGTTCCTCAATTTCATCTTCACTATCAGAGTCTTCATAAAATGAAATTGTGGCTTGAATTGGAAAAAATTTCAGAAGAGCTTCTGCTTCTTGGTATAAGTAATCATAACACTTTGATTTGGGCCAAAATAGTCTGAAAAAAGCAGACAACATAATACACTTTATCTTTTTTATATTTAGAATCCTTATACTCATGAAATGTTCAAATTTTAAGAGCTCCATGTATTTAACAATTGACTTATGCATTTAAACAGTCTTAAGATATAGTTTTAAAATGTTACTATCACAGCCCTGGCAGGTTTGGTTCAGCAGTTAGAGCGTCAGCCTGCGGACCAATAAGTCATGGGTTTGATTCCAGTCAAGGGCACATACCTCTCGATGCAGTTTGTCCTTGGCCCTGGTCGGGTCTCATGAACGAAGGCAACCAGTCTGTGGCTCTATCACATCGATGTTTCTCTCTGTCTCTCTCCCTCCCTCCCTCCCACTCTATCTGATGATAAATAAAATAATATCCTCGAGTGAGGAATTTAAAAAAAAATGTTACTATCACAGTTTGCATGGAGCCTATTTGCCAAAGTATCAATAACTGGTTGATTATTTGAAATCTTTATTCAAGTTGTAAGTGGAGTCAAACAAATTCACACTGAACCCTGTGTAAGCCTAAGATCAATATTTATTTACTACAGGCATTATAGATATTTTTATTCTTAAAAAACAAACAAACAAAAGGCTTATCTTCCAGTTTCTAAATTTCTTAGGGAAGAAAATGAATCTCACCCTTACATTAAAAATTCTGATAACCAACTTTATGAAAACAACAAAATATTATGCCCTTACACAGAGGCAGAAATCACCTAGAATCTTGCTTAAAGCTCACACATTTAACTCTTAAAGATGTAGCCAATGTAAGTTTAAAAAAGTACAAAAAGCAGTATTTTTTAAAGTTCGTCTATGCACTCACCACTTGAGGTACAGAAAGACTACCTCTGAGCCCAATCTTGACCCCATCTCCTCTCCTTTCCCCATCCAATTAAATTTGGGGACACCTTCGTGAGATATTGAGAATGACATGACACTGGTTTCATACAAATAATTCACATGTAAACATTTTTACCTCAGAATTTCAAATTTCTAAAAAATATTAAACTTGCCATCTGGTCTTCTATTATTTTTCATCAAAGGAAAAGAAAAGAGGAGGGAAAAGGCTGAATCTCCAACTACAGTGTAGTCATTTTAGTGTAAATAGCCACATGTACTCATGTAATAGAGTGATTCTAGCAGAGATGGTACATTATGTCCAATATACTGCATTGAAAAGACAAAAAGTAGGCAATGTAATTTATAACTTTTTTTTAGCAAAATGGTAAAACATAGTTTATAATTTTGGTGTCAAATTAGTAACCATTCAATCATTCAATAAATATTTAGTGCTTTCTTGTGCCAGACATAATTCATAATTCGAAGATGAATAAATCATGATCTCTACCCTCTAGAAGTTGACAATTGAGTAAAAAGAATTAGAAATACATAATACTACTCAAGATAGAAATTAAGAAAAGTAAAATAAATTTAAGAGAGGTGCAAACATAATGCTAGACATAGTAGTTCAGAAAAGAAAGGAATAGCTTATATAGGAAAGAACTGCTTTTTTAACGTGTTACTGGAACTGCCAAACCCAAAGAATGATGTTTAATTGTTATTATATTCTCCCAGAATTTCTCACTGACCATTTTTCTTCCAGGGACTCTGTAGGTCTCTGAATTTCCCATTCTGAATGCTTCTTCTCTGTCTCCTTTATGGACTTTCTTTCTTTGTATACAGGTTAGATGTTGGTCTTTCCTCACAGTTTTATCACAAGTGACCATCTCTCCTCTCTGATTCCCCAGGATGACCTGACCCACTGCCATGCTTTTCCAGCTGTTTATTTACCAAAAGCTCCCAAGTCTGCATTTCTATTTAAGAACCTGTTGATAGCCCCCTGGTTTATATATGCAGCTCTCTAATGGACACTGCCATTTGGATGCCCACAGGTACATTAAAATCCATAAGTGAAAAAATTAGACTCATTATCTTGCTCCTCAAATCTATTTTAACCCTAATTTCCCGTCTGTTAGTATAGTATTCAACCTGGTCATCAGCCACAAACTTGGGAACCATTCTGTCTTTTTACCTTCTTCTTCACCTACCATATCCTATACGTTATAAGTCTAATCTATTTTGTCACCTAAGTATTCCCCAAATTCACCTAGGCCTATCCTCACTTCCAATGCCTTAGAATGGCTCTTTATCATTCTTGCCTGAACAATTGCAATAATTTCCAATTTCACTTTTGGTGTTTCAACTAAGACTATATACCACTTCCTTGGTGATTTTTCTTAAATATAAAATCTGATCACCACCACTCTTCTGTTTAAAATACTTTTCGGCCCTGGCCGGTTTGGCTCAGTAGTTAGAGCATCGGCCTGCGGACCAGAGTCCCAAGTTCAGTTCCCGCTAAGGGCACGTACCTTGGTTGGGGTTTGTCCCCGGCCCTAGTTGGGGGTTGGGGTCGTGTGGGTGGCAACCGGTCAATGTGTCTCTCTCACATTGATGTTTCTCTCTCTCTCTCTTCCTCCCTCCATCCCTCCCGCTCTATCTGAATATAAATGCAAAAATGTCCTCGGGTGAGGATAAAAAAATAAAAATAAAATCCTTTTTGTAATCCCCAGTGCTACCTACAGGATCAAGACAAAACTCTGTATTCAGGTGTACAATATCTGGCCTCTGGCTTCCATGCTAGAATGACCACAGCTTCACACACCCAAATTTCAGCAACTCTCAATGCTTGCAGAGGAGCTATGCTGTTCCTGAGCCTGTTATCTCTTTCCCTATTGTTTCTAGTGGAAAATCTACCTACCTTCCCCATCTACCATCCATTTGGCTAACTTCAAAACCACAACCTATAATACACACTTTCCTGGCCCTTCCCCACTCCCTCTGACAGTTAGGCACTTCATGCCTTGAGGTGTAAAACTGACCAAATTGAACTCTCTCATAACACTTCCCACAGGGTTGTGACTATTTTTTTTCCTGTGTCCTTCACTAGTGCTAGCACATGGCAGGAAATTAATCAAAATGCTATTAATAAATACATACGCATTTTACAAACATCATATAGCTCTTCACCTAACTGCTCTCTGAAGCAAGCAAACTGCAAAATTAACTTTTTACCTGGTTAAAGGTGACAAAGAATCCTACAGAAAGGCTGGCTTCCTGTGACTGGAACAGGAAACTACCTCCTCATTGTTATGCCAAACAACTTGTGATCCCTTTTATGATCCTTAGTAACCTTTAGAATTTTCATCACATTTCTGTTTTCTCTTACACAGCAAGCCTAGTTTGCGGAATTTGCTATAAAACTGTAACTGTGAACACCATTCTTCCTTCTGTTTTGCAAGGGAATAAGAATGTACACACTCTACCTGGTGTGAAGTCAATTTCATTCAGACCTCTTGGCATTAAAAAAAAGAAAGAAAAAGAAAAAACTGTTCTGCAGGTACAAGATATCAACGTTCAACTTTTATTGTATCATCATCCACTGTCCTTCTTATTACTATATTTCTTAAGCTTTTACTGAGTATGCACTAATTAACAGCTCTTCTAAGTGAGAGCGTAAGCTCCTACATTTTTTAATTAGATGAGTAAAGGATCTCTGGGACTGAGAAGATAAAGTAACCTTGAAGGTAGATTTTCCAATAGAAAAAACTGCAGAACCAGCTGCTGAGCTGGGCTGTGCGAAGTCCCCAGCTCTTCCTTGGGCTGAACGCGCAGGAGAACTTCGGTTTGGCCTGTCACTTACCTGACTGGGTGCCTGTATCGAGAAAGCTTTCCAGAGGCTTCGGTCATTCGGGACATCTGGGGACGTAAGGAGATGAATCATAGTTACGACTCACCTTTTTCTAGAAACCGGAAACGCGCGCGACCAAGCGATCCTCGCACCCGCTGAGAATGTGACCCCCGGGCTCTCCGCAGCCTCGCTGTCGGTCCGATCCTGGTGCCGCAGTTGCTCTGGAGGACACGCTCGCCTCATCAGCACCGACAGGGTCACCGGGTAGGGCCACTGCAGTACCACCGACAGGCGCGATCTTAAGCGAGGGGCAGGCGGGGCGCGTGTCTGCCTAGGGCCGTGTGTTCCCAGCCCTGGAGAACCATCTGCGCCCCTCGGAGACACGGCCAGCCAGGCGCGGCTCACTCACCCCCTCCGCGGCGTGGTGCGAGGCCTCCTCCTCTGGCTTGTCTTGGGCGTCAACCCACGGTCTCCAGAAGTCTCCGGATCTGCGGGGTGGGGAGCAAAGGCGCGCAGAGGAGACGTGAGGCCAGACCCGACACAACCGATAGCAGATGAGCGTGGACCCGGGGGAGCGGAGGTGGAGGGAACGGAGAGGAGGAGCTGGGGAGGCGCGGACAGGAGAGATGGGGTAGGGGAGGTTCAGGGCGGTGCTGAAACATGGTACCCGGAGTCCGCGCTCCCGCGCCGCGCGGGGCCGTCGGGGGCCGCGGGCAGCAGGCGGTGGCAGCGCGCGCGCTCGCCGGCCTCGCTCTCCGAGCGCTCCGCGGTCTCCATGGCGCAGCGGGGCTGACAGATGGTCGCTGCCAGCTCGCGGAAAAGCCTGCCCTTTGCACACACCAGGCCCAAGACCGGAGCTTATATAGCCTCTGCGGCCTGCTGCATATTGAGAGGTTCGCTTCCTCTCCGCCTGTCTCTGCCCTGCTAGCCCTATAAACAAAACGGCTGCGCGTGAAGGCGCAGCGGACTGAACTCGGTGTGAACGCGTGCAGCTCCCAAATGGCCAGGGAAGGCGTTTGTCGAGCGAGTGTTAATCGCTCTTCACACATGGCTGCGGGAGAAAAAACAACTTTCGCCCGAGCAGCCAATTTCCAAGTGAAAAGGTTAGGAGGGGATAAAATTAAGTGATTATACACCTTTTGTGTATTTCTGCAAAAAGGCCAAGTGGCTGGTAATTGCTTGACTCGCCCAAGTCTCCAGGGTTTTTGGCCTTTAGCAAATGAAACTGGTTCTGCAGTCCGTAAAAGATGGGATGCTGAATAAATGAAAAGGAATGGCCTTACTTTCTCTTTCTGGCACAATACAAGATGGGTGAATGAATGAAAAGAATATCGGGGTTTAAAAAAATGTATTAACAGTCTGGGTTCATATATCTGCCTATTATTATTTGAAGATGATACGAAATTCAGAAGAGATAAATTGTAGTATCTTGAATGTTCCAGCCAAGAGGGCCAGAGACTGGAGTCATGTGCTTTATAATATAATCTTCTCATAATTTAATGTTGTGATTTTTCCTAACATCTTATTAGTCCCCTGAAGTCTTGAGTTTCATCTACACAATTCTGTCACTTCTTGGCATTTGGTCACTCAATGATAATTATAAAATAATTTGGGGGGGATGTATAAAATGATAATGGAATCTTAAAAAGTTATGATACGGGACAAGTTAGTCAGCTTTTTTGTGCCCTGTCTCTTGTATAAATTAGTCCTCATTTACTACAGAGGTCCCTTAAACATAGTAAAAGAAAAAGTGTTATGCCTCAAAGGAAAGATGATATATAAATGCTATATTTTTCAAAATGTTTTAAATAAAAGAGCTGATTTCCTCTTAAAAGTTGTAGATTAAAAAAAACATTTTTTTTTAACCTTGAATGTAAGCTATATTGTGTCTGCTATTCCTTCAGTTACTGCTTAGGAAAATGATCCATTGAATTAATGCCTAGGACCTATAAGGATCTATCAATTAGGAAGGTGAGATATGGTTTGCTTCATATAATGAAATCTGTAACAATAGGTACTTAACGTGTGTCTCAATCCCCTAGAACAGCGATTTTCAACTTTTTTCATCTCATGGTACAGATAAACTAATTACTAAAATACTGTGGCACACCAAAAGGGGAAAAAAAAAATGTTTTTTTCCCATCTGCCAAAAAAAGTTGGGTATAATTTTGATTAATTCACACTAAACAGCTATTGTGTTGGCAGTTGTCATTTTTTATTTTTTTTATTTTTTTGTAATCCTCACCCGAGGACATTTTTCCATTTTTTGTACAGATAGAGTGGGAGGGAGAGAGAGGAACAGAGAGAGAGAGAGGGAAACATCGATGTGAAAGGGACACATCGAGTGGCTGCCACCCGCACTACCAACCAGGGCCGGGGACAAACTGCAACCGAGGTACATGCCCTTAGCGGGAACCGAACCCGGGTCTCTGTGAACTGCAGGCGGATGCTCTAACCGCTGAGCCAAACCGGCCAGGGCGGCAGTTGTCGTTTTTTAAAGTTGACAATCTAAGGCAGAAGAGGTCGATGCCCTGACTAAATAGTCAGGTATTGCATGTTTTAAAAATTCTGTGGTGCATCAGTGTGCCATGGCACACGGGTTGAAAATAGCTGCCTTAGAATTATTGTTAGGTAAAATAAAATAAAACTTACGGAATGCTTACTACAGTGCCTAACACATAGTGAGCGCTCAACAAATCTCAAGCTATTTAAAAATATATAAGCCTTTAACAGATGTTGAGCTATCTGATCAAATGGCCTATCATTTAAGTTCTGTAAACATCGTTTGAGGTACCTGTAATATGCTAAGTACTGTGCTTTCTGGATGTAAGGGTGAATAAAATAGTTCCCCTATCTGTAAGAGGATTATGGTCATCACCATCTATAGCCTTCACAGTGGCCACATAAGCAAAGGTTTTTTAAAAGTGCCATATTCAATAACAAAAGCACATTTTACTCAGAGGAGTGGCACGAGAAAGGAAAGAGGTATGTCTGTTTGGGACAACCACGAAAGCCTTCTTAGAGTAAACGGAACCCACATTGGAATTTCTTGAAGGATCAATCAAGAAATAGAATAGCGTGTGTGTGTGCAAGCGTGCATATGTGTGTTTGTGTGTGCACGTGTACTCGTGCAGGAGTGGGAGGAGGAGGAGGAACAGTGCTTCTAGGGTGAGGTATTCTAGGGCAGGGATGTGGCCGAGGAGACAGAAAGGACTTGGACGATTAACAGCCTAATATGCCATGACAGAGCATTTCATCTTTATTCTGTAAGTGCTGGTGAAAATTGTAAGCGGGAGAGTGGAATGGTCAAAGTTTGCATTTTATGAAAATCACTCTGGAAGCCATCTGGAAGATCGATTAAGGGGAGGGTGGTAATAGAGACAGGGAGATCATTTACAAAGTCACTGTAATATTTCAGTCAACAGGTAATGAGATGTATTTAAGGATATACATGACAGAATATATTTGAGGGATACTAAGGGAATAAAATCTATAGAACTAGCCAAATCACAAAATGTGGATGGACATGAAAGTGGAGACTGGATATGCCCCTAGGTTTTCTAGCCTGGTTAAGTGGATGGAGATGGTGATGGCTTAGAGACAAGGAAAACGGGGAATATAGGAGGAAAGCAGGTCAGATGCTTTGCTGTTGTTTTATCTGTTAATAGAGTGCAGGGAAAAATTGAGGAATTTGGTTTTGGATCTTGAATCAGTCAGGTCAGGCTGGGTTACAGGGCAATAATAAACTACTCCAAAATCTCACAGGCTTAACTTAATAGAAGTTTATTTCTCACTCATGCTGTATGTCCACTTTTGGTGGACATACAGCATGAGTTGGTGGGAGATTTGCTTCACATCACCTTTGCATGAGTTGGTGGGAGATCTGCTTCACATCACCTTTGCATAAGGAACAGGTGGATGGAGCCTCTTTCCTCTGCAGTGTTGCCACTTATAACATAAGAATGGGAACAAAATTATGTGTGTGTGCCAGCTTTTCAAAGCTTCTGCCTAGAAGTGACACACATCACCTCCAATATGTCCCACTGGTCAACATAAGTCATAAGACACACCTAATTTCAAAGGAGCAGGTATGCAGTTCCACCAAGTGTCCAGAAAAAGGAGAAACAAGAATAAGCCACATTATGAGTACCAGAATCTGCCCTTGTGGCTACCAAATATTCAGTTAACTTTCCTTCTTGCATGTAAAGTACAGTCACTGTAAAGAAAGGAACTCAGAAGTGATCTAATAGATTTTAGAAGGCTTGGTAACACATTTGTGGAGAAGATACCCAGGGGACAACCAGAAATATGAGATATGGAGTTTAGTAGAGAACTTAAGGCTAAAGAGTTACATGTGGGAATTATAATAGGATAGGTGGTAACTAAAACCATAGGAATTGATTGGTTTTCCCAGAGAAATTTTGCAGCTTGAAAACAGGACCAAGGACAGAGCTCTGAGAGTACTATTTGATTGTAAACATAGAGGGTATGCAATAAATAAATTAATTAGCTCTCTCACGGAAAAGGAATGGTGAAGGTGGTAGAAGGTGCATTTGTGGAGCAGGTGTGGTGGAAACATGGGATGAAAGAATTCCAACAAGGAAGGAAAGGTCCGAGACATTAAGTGTCACCAAGGGTCAACAAGATAAGGATACGTGTTAATTAAATTTAGCAAGTAAAAGGTTTAAGTGACTTTAAAACTGTATCTTGAGTATATGCAGACTGAAGCTTTTTTTACAGTAAGTTGAACTCTAGAGGTGAAAAAATAAAATCAATGAGTTGCTACCCTTTTGAGAGGGAAAAGGAAAGAGAAGGAGAATGCTGGATCAGTAGAGGGTTTTTTTGTTGTTGTTGTTTGTTTTTTAAGGTGTAAGATAAAATGATGAGAGGAGGCAGGAGAACAGTGACCTCTATAGAGAGGGGACAGGATGATGGCTTTTGGTCCCCTAGAAGGGAGAAAGAAATGAGGTTAGTAGCCCTGAGGAAGATTCTCATGCAGTCGGAGAGTGTGCATCAGTGATATATAAGTGCTGGATGTATACATGATGTAATCCACATCTGGGAGCACTGGAGAAACAAGTTTAATAAAGGTGACTAGATCTGGTGTGGAGGAGTGATATAATATGATAATAAGATATAAGTCTGAGAGAATATCAATTGTCCTAAAATTGTGAGAAAAAGAATGCATTACTAAAAAGAAAAAAAAAGGTGAATCAAATATATGGCAAGACTGACCAAATTTAGGTAAATTGAGAAATATAAATATGGATTATTAGAACTATAAAATCCCAAATTTTCCATTTATAAATTCTGTGTATGCCACCTATTTACACTGAGGTTGAAATTGATTTACAGTGTGGGCAGGCCAATATAACTTATTCATGTTCCATTTTAAATTTCTTTTAGAATTCTCTATGACTTCTTTTTGTGGCTGAATAATATACATATATATATATATATATATATATGAATATGTATATATATAATCAATGGATAAATTGTCCATTGATGGACTCTTAGGTTGCTCCCATGTCTTGGCTATTGTAATAATGCTGCAGTGAACATGGGAGTACAGATATCCTTTGGATAAATACCCAGAAGTAGAATTTCTGGATTATATGGCAGTTCCATTTTTTGAGGAACCTCAATACTGTTTTCTATAGTGGCTGCACCAATAAATATTTCCAACAAGAGTGCCAAGCATCCCCCCTTTTCCTCCTCCTCACCAACACTTGCTATTTCTTGTCTTTTTGATACTAGCCATTCTGTCACCTTGAAGTGGTATCTCACTATGGTTTAGGTTTGCATTTCCCTGATGATTGGTGAGGCTGAGCAACTTTTCAGGTACCTGTTGGTCATCTGTATGTCTTCTTTGGAAAAATCCTTTTAGATCCTCTACCCACTTTTTAACCAAATTGTTTGTTTTCTTG